CGGCGCGCGCCGAGCGGGGGGCACCGCGCGGGTGCAGCCACGATGGAAGGGGGTGCGTACGGAGCGGGCAAAGCCGGGGGCGCCTTCGACCCCCACACCCTGGTCCGGCAGCCGCACACCATCTTGCGCTTCGTGTCGTGGGTAAGGACGGCTGGGTGGCCCGGCCAGGCCGGGGGTGGGGTGGGGACGCAGGCCCCGGCGGTGCGCCCGAGCGGCGCGGACCCCACCGGGTCTCGGCAGGGGCGCGGCAGCCAGCGGGGAGCCGTCCTGCCCGGGGCCCCGCGCCTGCTCCTCTTCCTTCCCGGCCCCGGAGGGGGCTCGGGCGCGGGCGGCGGCTCCGGTTTCAGCGCCCCCTCCCGCTCCCGGAGCCCTGGCTGCCCAAAGCTCCCCACTCGTGTGGACCCCCACCCCGCATCTCTGTGGCCTCCAGGCCGCGGCTCTGCAGCTCGCGGCTCTGGCTGCGCGCGGCCGCCGGGGCGGGCCGGCGACCGTAGAGACTGCGCCGGGTTTCAGGTGGTCTTTTCGGGGTGTATGGGGCGCGAATCTTCTCGCGGGGGTGCACGCGGCACCTGCTGTGGACGTTGGAGACAGAGAGGGCAGGGAGTGCTTGGCCAGGACAGTGCGGAGCGATGCGTCGGGAGCCGACACCTGGCATCCTCCCGGGAGCTGCCTCTCCTTCACCGCGTGACCTTGGGCCGGGAACCACCCGAGACGTGTTCACGGTTAAATTCCCAGGTGGGGAGGGGCAGCGCCACCCCGAAGCCTCAGTTTCTCCATTTATGAGGAGCCTCCTTGAGGCTGTCTTCGGCTCAGATAATTTCTGAATCCACCCAGAACCTTCCTCCCTGCCTACCTCTGGATGCCGGGGTGGGGGAGGGAGCAACTGAGGACTAGATTCCCTCCGTGGCAGGAGCAGGGAGGTGTATTCTGCTTGGGGGGGACAGAATCACCGAAGGGCTGAGTGGGGTCTTGTTGGGGGGCGAGAATGGAGCAGAAGCAGCGAGCACAGAAGGCTCCAGATGGTCCTGGCAGCACCCAGGGATCCATGGTCTGCTTCTGTTTGGGGAGGGAGTACTTGGGGTTCCCTAGGATTGGCTGCCCGTTTCCCAGACACCCATACCAGCAGGGCCTGGATTGAGGGTGCAGACCAGGGGCGTTGTTAGAGATTCTATGTCTCAGACACCTGTGACCTGGGTGCTGGAGAGCCCACCTTTCCTACATTATCAGGGTCGTTATTAGGTGGGAATCGAGGGTTTTTCTCACTACTTTTCTCTGGTCTGAAAACCTTTTAAGACGTCCTGCTGTGTCCACAGTTAAACCCCTTCTTAAATGCCCACCGGACGGGAAGCTCTTTGAGGGCAGGGAGCGCCCTTTGTTAGTCTCTGGGTCCCCCCTTGGTCCATCCATGAGGGTGTGTGGCCCTGAACTTATATGTATGATGCAGTTGCTGGCATCCTGAGTCCCAGGCGGGCCCCTGGAGCAGTGGCGCCCTGGGTTGCTGCCTGCTCAGGAGTGCTGGCGGGTCACTTATCTCCCTGGCCAGCTCCCGGGCGCCGGCCTGGGAAGGTGAAGTCACTGGCTGCGTGAAGGGGCGTGGGCAGTTTGTCTGTTGAGGTCACTTCTGCCGTGATGGCTTCATTTAGCGAAGCCTCACTGAGTCTGCCGGCCCCAGGGAAGGCTGCATGACTCAGACGCAGCCCTTAGTGCTCAGGGAGCCTCATTCCCTCTGGGGAGTGCGCCAGGTGCCCCCCGGCGGCTGCCCTGTGAGCCAGGAGTGGGGTCTCCCTGCCTGGAGATCAGAGAGGTTTCACGGAAGAAGCTCCTCCTGAGCCTGGGAAGATGAGAAGGGTCTCTGTGTATGCACTCTGGGGGTGCAGGGAGGGCAGCCCAGGCAGGAGAATGAAAAAGCACTGGGGTGCACGTTCCCCCAGCAGCCTGTGTAACACTTGGGAAACTGAGGCCCACAGAGGCCCAGCGACTGGCCCGAGGACACCGAGCATGTAGGTGGCAGGTGCAGGATCGGAACCCAGAGCACATGCCTGTCCCCAGAGCACGCGCTTCTGCGGGGCAGGCCGAGTTCCGGGTCCTGGAATTTCTGGACTGGAAAGGGTAACTGCAGTCGGGGGTCTCCCGCCTACAGGCCGACGCCCCGCCCCACCCGACTCCCTCTGTTTATGTGCACAGAGGTCACAGCGAGGGCTCTGGACACCTTTTAAACATACACAGGGTTTCTCTGTTTTTTCTGACCATAAAAGTAGCACCTAATTATTATTAGAAAAAATAAAAAGAACACCCAAAACTCGTCATGTTTGTACCACAGGACAAACCCGCGTAGTGCCACCGAGCTATACCTTAATGGCTGTGATGGCGACTTGTATGTTACATGTAGTTTGCCACATTAAGCAAACTGGGAGAAAGGAGCGCAGTAGGAGAACCCCTGGCTCTCAGGCCGCTGTCTCCTTCTGTCCTTTTTAAAAGTGAGTGGGCGGCCCCGGGGCACGCAGGGAGGGTGTGGCTGGGTTGGCTCTGCCCCTTGCCACCGTCCGGCCCTGGTCACTGGGTGTCTGGAGCTGTCCCGTGCAGCCTGCGTTCTGGGGCAGAGGGGTCCGGTGTGTCTGGGTTTACTGGAACTTTCCAGACTTCAGCCCTTAAGTCCCAGGTCCCCGCCCCTGCGCAGCCCCGGAGGGGGACCCTAGCTTGTGACTTTGTAACGCTGGCCAAAGAAAGGTCTTTTTCTGTTATTTTGCCGAAAGAGAGTCCCCAAGCCAGGGAAGCCTCACCCACCTGGACCACACGCCGGAAGCGGGCCCGCCAGGGCCGAAGCAGGAGCCGGGCCCCTGGCCTCTTCGCTGGGCGCTCTCTGTTCCCTGCTGCCCAGAGCCCTGCCCCTTACAGCAGGAGCTGAGGGACCACCGAGTTGGGGCAGAGAGGGCGGCCAGCAGGTGTCCGGTGGGACACAGGGTCCAGGGCAAGCCCGGAGCCGCTGTTCACACGGGCCGGGGCCGACAGGGGAATGGGCGAAGGCTGCTCTCCAGCTCCCCGGCCGTGAGCCCTCTGCGCCTCGGTCTCCCCGTTTGAACGAGGATGCGGGGCTAGCCCGGGATGCTCACTGGCCACGCAAAGCCTTGTTCTGTGGGGAACCGGACACCCAGCGGGGTCCTTCCACGTGACGGACTGAAGGACCCCCGTGTGTGCGTTTACCCCTTTTAGAGGTTTGGGATCACTTGCAGGTGAGAATATTGATGCTGGCACATGAGGTTTTTAATTAATTCTCGGCTTTAGCAAAATAAAGTGATAAAAGGCAGTTTCGCCATTTCCCCTTGATCCTGAAGGGCCTTGCTTCAACTCGGGGACCCCGCAGGGGCGGAGCCAGGCTCGGAGTGGCCGCCTGGCCCGGACTCCCGCCGCTGCTCTGCCCAGCTTCACACCCTCGCTGGTGTCAGCTCCCTTCACTCACCCCAGATGCACTTTGAGTATGAACCGGAGTTTGCTTGGCCAGCGCAGCGGCGTCGAGATTAGCCCCATGAGCCCCTTAGGCCCCCTCCGGCCAGCTTGCCCCCAGCAGCCACCCATCGGAGCTGCCTTGGGTGGAAGGGGCCCGTGAGGACGGGCGCTGGGCGCCTCGCCCAGACACATGTCCCTGCTCAGCCAGCGTGTGTCCCACCAGAGGCTCTGAGTGCCGTGGGGAGAACGAACGGGCCCACAAGCACCAGGAGGTTAGGGAGCACCCCCAGGAGGTTAGGGAGCATCCCCGGGAGGTTAGGGAGCATCCCCGGGAGGTTAGGGAGCACCCCCGGGAGGTTAGGGAGCACCCCCGGGAGGTTAGGGATGCGCAGGAAGGAGGGCCGGGGTGCCGGGGCTGCGACGGGGGGCTCCCAGGGGGAGGTGGGTCCTGAGCGGGTCCTGAAAGGGAAGTGGGAAGAGCAGCGCGCCCCACTGTCTGGAGCCACTAAATATGAGCTCTTGGGGGCCAGAGTGAGTGAGATCGAGGGCTCAGGAGGCTGAGGGGTGCGCAGGGGTGGGGTGACCCCGGAGAGGCCTCGACGACAGGTGACGACAGGTACACAAGCCGAGTTTCACCTGCCGTGCGGGAGCCCAGGGAGGGGTTTAGCCGGGAGGGTGTGTTCCAGAAGCGCTGTGTGGGCGTGGCGGGCGAGCTTGCTGCAGGTGTCCTGTGGGGACCCTGTCCTCTCCCAGCGCCAGGCCTGACCCCGCTTCTGGAGGAGGCGGGGCCCAGTGTGGGCGCCCCCTTCACTGGCTCGCCAGCGTAGTCTTCCCCTTGTGCCTGCGACAGACCCTTGGCGGGTCTGGCGGGGTCAGCCCACGAGCTGACCGCACTTTGACTGTAGGTGTGCCCCTGTCTTGGGCGTTTCCCGAGGCCGAGGGGAGCCGGGAGCCCGGGGAGCCTGAGAGAAGTGGGGAGTTGAGGCCAAGCACGGGACTACGGAATAGCCCACCCCTGGGCTCGGGTGGGGGCGCCTGGCTCTGGGCAGAGGTGCGAGAAGGTGGTGCCTACGGCTGCCGTCCAGTGCGCTTCCTGTCGGTTTTTGTTGTGCCCGCTGGAGGTGCGAAGCCAGCCCCAGGGAGGGTAACTGGAGCCGCTGGACAGAGCCCCAGGCTGACTTCGAGGACACGGCCAGCTGTGGGGAGTCCCCAGACGCACCCGTGTGCAGAACTGTTGGGCAGGCCTGAGCCTGGGAGACAGAACAAAGGGGGGGGCGGGGGCAGAGAGGAGAAACATGGAGGAGGGCGGGAGGGCAGATGGCAGAGCTGGGAGGATCCACACTGGGAGAATCCGATCCACCCAGACCGGATAAACCTGCGTCGGGAGGGAGGAGCAGCCAAGCCGCCGTTGGGGAGCGCCAGGGCCCCCTGTACCCACACGACCCCGGCTGGGGTGTGATTGGAGCTGGAGGCCTGTGCCCACTGGCCCTCAGTCTCCCTGCCTGGCAGAGGGGTACAGGCCGAGCAGCTGGGGCTGGCGCTTCTTCTCTAGACACCTTCGGAGACTCCCACTCTTGCACCTAGTAGAAGTGGGCTGAGCTTGGGGGGCCTGGGCCCCAGGTCTGTGTGCGGAGCCTGGCAGGGAGGCCAGTGCCCTTCCAAGGGTGGGATCTTGCCCATCTCCTCTGTGGGGAAGG